TGCTGTCAAAATTTAAAAAAAAAAAACTTAAATGTTAAGCATCAAGACCCTTGCTCTCTTTTGAATAGTTTAGCTCTTCACACCTGAATTGGGAATCAGACAATAAACATGTATTAAGTCCCTTTACCATATCTTGGGTGGCTACCAGGGCTTTAAGGTATTTATATGTTTAGATAAGGGACTTGGAGATGAACCTTTTTAAAAATGTCTTGGGCTTTTCCCATTTAGAAGCTATGGAAATGGGAAATAGATACAATATCAACCCCACTTATCAAGATAGGCAGCCTGGATGACTTATTTAATAGGTATTTAACAGGTGGCACAATGCAGACAAATTCCAAAAGGCAGGAAGACCTGAGTTCAAATCCTGCTTCAGAAGCATTCCAACTCTGTTTGTTGTTGATGAATTGTTTCAGTTGTGTCCAACTCTTCCTGACTCCATTTGATATTTTCTTGGCCGAGATATTAGAGTGGTTGGCCATTTCCTTTTCCAGCTCATTTTACAGATGAGGAAACTGAGGCAAACAGGGTTAAGTGACTTGCCTAAGGTCACACAGCTAGTAAGTGTCTGAGGCCACATTTGAATTCAGAAAGATGTTTCCCTAACTCCAGGCCTATCCACTGTGCCAACTAGCTGACCTATGATCCTGGGTAAATGATTCGAGTATTTAAGGTCGTAAAAAACCCCTGAGTCTTAAACTCTCTGTCCACCTCAGTTTCCTTATTTGAAAATGAGCATAGTAATAGCAACCACCTCCCAAGGTTGTTGTGAGGATTGAATAAGATAATATATGTAAAGTACCACATAAACGATAGTTGTTAGTATGATTATATTCTGGCTTATGTAAATCAAGTCTTCTATTTACTCTCAATGGGTCTCTTTTTGATGTGGTTGCTTAGTACAATAGCAGACAAGTACATAGCAACAGCAACAAAGCATTTGTCAGAAGGATCTGCTTCAGGAAGGAAAAGGTTTTTCCAGTGACCAGCTGTATTCACTGCTGCTTCTGTTCCTCAGTCATAAATTAGAATAATAAATGCACAGGGTTTCAAGGAATTGCAGCATGTGTGACACCTACCAGTCATTGCCACATCCAGTCCCACCTGCCCATGTTCCTTGAATACAATTGACTTGTTAAGATGAGCCCACCCACTTTCCCTCATATGAATCATACTGGTTGCACACAAAGGTTATTATTGTTGTTGAATCATTTGTCTTGTCTTACTCTTTGTGACACCTTTTAGGGGTTTTCTTGGCAAGGATACTGGAGTGGTTTGCTATTTCCTTCTCCAGTCCATTTTACAGATGAGGAAACTGAGGGAAACAAGGTTAAATAACTTGCCCAGGGTCATACAGCTAGTGTCTGAGGCAGGATTTGCACTCAAGAAGATGAGTCTTGCTGATTCCAAACTCAGTACTCTATCCACTGTGCCACCTAGCAAAGGCTATGACCCTCCTTAACCCCCAAAAGAATCTAAACGGATGGTCAGGCATCATATAGGATGAATACGTATTAGCGAGGTACACCCACACAGCTGCATTTCTAACCAGCTGCCCAATTCCACATAATCACAATCATTCTTGAGCCTGACATTCTTCATAACTTCACATTTGATGTCATCAACTGAACAGTATAAAAAATTATTTTTAAAAGTTTTTGAGAAAGAGATGTCTAGCAGCTAAATGCCATTTCAGTAATTGAAATGTAATTTTTTGCTTCATTTTTAACTTTCGATATTATTACTTTAAATGCTTGACTTTTTTGCCCAGTTTTCCCCCTGTTTTAAATGCCAAAGAAATTCATACGGCATTTCTTTTTATTCCAGGAAATTCAAGTTCACACTCCTGACACTTCATCATAGCTGAATTACTTGCAAAATGTCCCTTGATTTTGGACTATCTTATGAAAACTCAATTACTCCTTTTATGTACATGCATTTGTTAAAATGCCCCTTTAATAAACCTATCTCATCCAAGGAAGGACAGTATAGAAACTCCAATCCAATCCCTTCATTTTATAAATATGAGGAAACTGAGAAACAAGGAAGTAGAGTGACTCATCTAAGCTCCCAAAGTCAGTTAAGTGGCAGAGCCCCACTTCATCCCATGTCCTTTCACCAAAATTCATTCTTAGAGTCTTTAGGTGAGCACATCACCTTTGAGATTCTGTTCTGCTTCCTACACCTTTGGGAGTAGAAATTATTTGGTTGCCTGCCAAATGGTGCTAATAATGATAATACCTTACATTTGCAGAGCACTTTACAATTTTCAGAATACTTTCACACGAATTATCTCTATTGATCCTCACTACAATCTAGTGAATTTAGGGATGATAAGTAGGACTGTCTCCCTTCTACTTAAAGGAGAGGAACTGAGGTATAGAGATGCTAAGTGATTTACCCAGGGTCACACAGTGAGTAGTATAGCTAGTAAAAGGATCAGAGAACAATAGGATAGGCTTGTTTTTGTTTTTGTTTTTCCCATTGCTATTACTGGAAAGATTTTCTTTCTTGGAAGAAATGCCTAACCCCTTAAAATGTCGAACATGAGACAGCTAGTTTTGAATTCTTCATTCAACTCTCTATTTTGGTCCAGTTTGGCTTGTGTTAATGAAATAAGAGAGGATGTCTCTTATGAGACTGGTATTTAAAAATTATTTTGTCTTGTTAAAGAAAAATCTCATCTAAAATAAGGCATCATCTGTGGATCCATGTAGTCTATCATTTCATTGAGTGAGAAATGTGTGTGTGTGTGTGTGTGTGTGTGTGTGTGTGTGTGTGTGTTTTGTTACCCCCATCAGCTTTCAAGGACTGAAGGGCCAAAGTCAGGTTTTTTTAACTGGATATAAATGCTCATGATTGTTAGTATTTAATTTTTTCTCCCACTGATGTTATCTTTCAACTAACTCCCCACAGAACTCAGTGTACTCTACACAAAGTGGATGCTCAAGTAATCAATTCTTTTCTCTCATTCTATGAAACTCAGCCCTTTGATGTTAGGACCTTTATATACAAATTTAAGATTTTTATTTGTAAAAGAATTTTCAAAATTAGAATGACAAATATTTTTTAATCGTTAAAAATCCATTATTTCATTAACTGTTGTTGGTACATTTTAATAATGTTGGGTTAGTGGAAGGAGTCAGAGGCCCTGAGTTCAAATCTCTGGATCTGCTACCTTACTTGTGTGACCTTGGACAAGTCAACCTCATTGGGCCTCAGTTTAGACCTCCAAGGTCCCTTTCATCTCTAAGTCTATAATCCTGTTATCCTGCATTCTAAAGAAATGTAAATAATCATGTAGGAGAGCTGTAAGGCATTGTGATTTAGTTTTGTTTGTATATTTGTATACCTGTGCATTCACAATTTAAGGGAGCTAGGTGATTAAGCAATCATTGCATTAATTTAAGTTATATAGATTTAAGTGCTGGATGCAAAAGATATAAAGGCTGGATGCCGATACATTTCTGTACACAATTACTAAAAGCCTCTTATGTGAAGCACTAGATTATTTTAAATAAATTTATCTCAACTTCTGATCAAAAAATTCCTGTCAACTAAGTAATCTCCCAATGGTTTTCCCACTCTATTTGACTTGTTTTTCCCCCACTTTTTTTCCAATTACATGTAAAGATAGTTTTCACATTCACTTTTATAAGATTTTGAGTTCCAAATTTTTCTCCCTCCCTCTCTAATATAGGTTATACATGTACATCTATTTCACTTGTTAAGACAGCCAATTTGATTTTGCCTTTTTCTCTGAATTTGTGCTGCCTTGTTGGTGTCCCTCTGGCTAACTAAACACTGCTAAAAGATTGGGTTTTCTTTATATGGGGGTGTAACTTGCTTTGTTTGGGGAGGGAGAGGACTAGAGAGGATGTTTTGCTTAAGGTAGTTGGAAGGAGACTGTGGACTTTATTGTTTTTTTGGAACACACAAGACCATCTTTTCTGGATGTATTTGTTTTAAAAGCCTCTGCTTCAAAGAAACCCTGGACTTTCTCAACTTACTTTTCAATAATGCAACTGGATGGACACCCTAGGAGCTACCCATTAAACAGTTACTTTTTTCTTTGGGAGATCTCTTCTTCCTTTGCCACTGTGTAGATGTGAAGAAAATGGCTTAATTGGCTTTTTAAATTATAATCTAAGCCTTCTAGGACAGAGAAAAAAATCCTTCATTCTTTTTTAAAATTTGATTGAGTTTTCTTTTCCTGAATTACCCAGATCAATCTCTCAACTTCAAGTTGTCTGTGGGAACACTCAGTTTACCATTTTTAAAAATGGCTTAATGATTTAACCTTCTGTGTCCCTTTATTTCTGCATCTGTAAAATAAAAAGGTTGAGTTGATCATCTCTCAGGTTCTCCTTCTAGCTCCAAATCCAATTATCCTATGATTCTTATTTTCCCTTAATTTCCATTATACTTAATTCACATACTTCTTGTGTGCATCAGATTTCACGAATGCCAAATATACAGATTTACCTCATTGACTGTTGTGTCCAAATGGACAAGTCAAACAAGTTGTTTGACTGTCTTTTTTTCACTAGTGAATTGACTGGTTGTTTGACTCCACTGACTTCATTAACTGATTGTTCTGACATCCCAGAGGCACAGCCTAAGTTCATCCTTGCATGGGGAATGAATTGCCTTTGAAGTCAGTAGTAGTTTTCATTGTTCTTGTTTGAGCTGTGATTGTCTACTGAGTGCACTATACTCAACTCAATAGTGATTTCAAATGGAAAATGGAAAAGGAAGGAGGTTAAAGCCAGTTAGAGTTTTAAATAAAATTTGTTGGTGGATTAAAGCCTTACTTTTTCACTCCTGTGTTTTAAAAATTAACTTTGGTCATTTGTCCAGGTTGATTTTTTTAAATGATCCCTTTTAAATAATGAGTAACAATCATGTAAGTACATTGTTGGATTTCAAATGGCAATTCAAAGTAAATCCATTCATGTTTAAAATTTTAAATGTATTTTCTTTATTTTCTTTGATTTTAGTTTTCACATTGGGAATATAATTCATCAAAGGAGATGGAACCTAAAAGATCGCCAAAAGAACTATTATTCACGATAGCATTTTTACTAGCACATTTGGTAAGTAAATCCTTCTCATTCTACTTTTTCATTTGAATGCAAGGAAAGAAATATAAATAATAGAATGTGGTCTAGAGTGTTTCTATAATTGTCTCAGACTCCTTTGTCTTTCTTTCAAATATTTTTTAAACTTCCGTACTACATATTAATGAATCAGAAATGGACAGAAATGTCCAATCTTGACTTTGGAAGGCATTATTTAAATTCTTTTCTTTGAAACATAGAGGAAATCAAATAAAAGGAGTAACAACATTTCTAGCCCCATGACAATGATAAATTATCTTGTGGCTCATAGAAATGTGCCATACTCAGCACGAGTCAGACCCTTCCTGACTAGAGTATTATTTCCAGTTCCGGACTGCATGGCTTATAAGGTTTGTGGAAAACTTGGAAAAGGTTCAAAGGAGAACTATTAAGATGATTAAAAGTGTTGGAAAATGGGCCCTATGAGGGAAGTTAAAAGGAACTGAAATTTATTTCATCTGGAGACATAATAAAGCAAAGCTTAATAATGATCTTTGAATATATGAAGGGTTATTATGCAGAGGATAGCAACTGTTCTCCATGGAGAACAGAGTATGAAGAAAGGGTGTTAGGCTACAATGAGAAATTCAGGTAGACGTATGGAAAATTTGCTTAAAGCTGTAAGTGTAAGCAGTTAAAAAGGGAGGCTGTGTGGAATTGTTCTTTCTGGATATCTTTGAGACATAGCCTTTTTCATCTAAGTTTAGATGTTTCTATCTCACTCTGGATTTTGACAGAATCAAAGCCCATCTGTTACAGGACCAGAGATTGAGAGAGAAGGTGAAGGTGATCTTGGCCAACCAGCTTATTTTTCAGATGAGAAAACTGAGGCCTGGAGGGTGATTTGCCCAAGATTTACAGAGGTTTTAAGTAGTAGAGTCAGGAGATGAACTCAGGTCACATGACTTCCAATCCAGTGGTGTTCCCACCCTGCCATGAGGGCTCTGCCTAAAAGCATTTATTAAGAGCCTTTCTCTACATAGCATTGTAGTAAGGCATTGTACCAAACCAGTCCACAGAGACAGCTCTTGCCATCTTCAAATTTCCCTGATTCTGTGTTAAAGAGAAAAATACATTTAAAAAAATGTTCTCTATATTAAATATAATTTGGCTTATTGGGGAGGAGGGGGTTAGAGAAGGAATATAAAAATTTAAAAATAATTATTGACTTTGCGGGAATGATTAATGTAAGTTCATTCATATCATAACTGAGTATTCTGTTGTCCTGGTTTTCTCTGAGTCCTTCAAATTTGGCTTAAATAATTTTTGATCATACACATTTAGAGCTAACAGAGACCTCTTTTGGAAAATGGCATAGAAACCTCATTGCCTTGACTGAAAGTTTCTTAATTTAAGACTTCCCCTCCCCAAACATATTGTTTACCTCAATAAAATGTTAAGAGGACTCAATAATAAGAATATAATTTCATATTTATGTAATATCTTCTGAAGAACTCAAAATATTTCAAAACCAATAATTTTTCTGCCAACTAGAACAGACAGGAGTAGTGGACAGTGCTGGAGTTGGAGTCAGAAAGACCTGAGCTCTTAATCTTGTCTCAGACACTTACTAGCTGTGGGACCCTGGGCAAGTCACTTAACCTTTTCTTAACCTCAGTTTCCTCACCTTTGGAAAGAGCATATTAATCACACCTACATCAAAGGGTTATTGTGAGATTTAAATGAGATTATATGGATAAAGCACTTTGCAAACTTTAAAACACTTTACAAATTTCAATTTTTTAATCCAGTAATTCTCAGAAATTATTTTCCAAAGCCTGTACCCAAATCAATAAGAGCAAGCATGTATTGTTCTTTCATGGGTTCTCAGTAAAATCTACACTTTGTACACTCAGAAAGGACTGAATTTGTTCCTGCAAAACTAATGGCAGTCACATTGAATCGACTTGGAAATTTCTAATGAGTCATTGCAAAATCCTGTGTAACTGGCCATCCAGATTCATTATATTTGCAAATGTATCCTCTTATTTGCAGATCAGAGAATAGACTGGTGTTAACTTGGAAGTTTACTAAGCAGAAGAATGCTGAAAACCCAGAGCCCGAGAAGAATAGCCCTCTCTGCATGCCCTTTCCTTTCCTAGACATTTCCTAGGCTCCAGACATTCTCCTCAGGCTACAGCAAGAGCCCTTAAGGGCATAATATATCACTTTTCACTCACATTGTCAGAAAATTGTCTCGGGGAAAGAAGCAATTCTGCCCTGGAGTTGAACAAACTTGGCTCCTAGGAGAGAAAATTTTCCTTCCTCTGTATTAAGGAGAAAGAATGGTGCTTCAAGTATCCTGAAGAATTAGGCTCATTGACTTTCAGCCCATCCTAAATTGGCCTCTTTTCAAAAAGTGAAAATGAGCTTTATTTCTTTCTCAATTAGCATTTCTGGGTGTGACAGTAGTTATTTCAGACAGCTTTATTAGAACAATACCTTGAATTTTTTTTTCAACTTTCTGTTCCAAAGAGCTCATTTTCACTTTGAATTTTGTGTGTATTTTTTTTTCTTTTAGCCACATAAAATAATGTCTGAAACAGGAGACTGCAGACAACAAGAATTTAGGGATCGCTCAGGAAACTGTATCCCTTGCAAACAATGTGGCCCAGGAATGGAGCTGTCTAAGGTACATCTATTAGATATATGATAGAATGATAGTTAAATGTTTTTTACTGTTGGGCAGTTTTCTTTCCCCAAAATGCAAATCTTCTGGAAATTTGTATTAATGTTATAATTTTATCCTGCTTCACAGTCTTTAAGAATAGTAATTATTTATTTGCAATCTGTGTGCATTAAACATATACAAGATATGAGTTTTAGTGGAAAAATTTTTTTAGTTCAATTTTCATTGAAAAATAGGCTCTTCCATCAAACAAAAGTTATAAGTATAAGAGACTACAAAGTAATGTTTTTAGGTAACATCATCTAATTGATATGCTATAAAACACAACCTTTAAAATAAACTCAAAATAAATAAAGATAAATATTGACATGTATTCAGTGACATAATTGTCAGCTTTTTCCTGGGGTGAATATTTTTGATGGTAGTAGAGATGAGAAATAAATATGTTCTACCTCGAGTGAGCTACAGGGTTCAACAATGAGCTACACATAGTAAATGATTATTATATTAGTGGAATTGAAGAAGTCCTTCAGGACTACTTCCCATCCAAACTGGATGGGGGTAAACATCTTTTTATTTAAAAAAAAAAGTCAACTGAACTCACCCAAGCTGTCTTATAGTATCATTTAAAATAAAAATATTTGCTGTCATTATTTTTATTAAAATTGAGTCTAAAGCATTTTTTAAATGAGACTTTTTGAAAATTTGGAAATGCAACAATACTTAGGGAAAATCTATACCAGTGAAGAATTTTGGTTCTCTGTTCTCCTGGATGCATCTTAAGAAAGGTAGGGCCTGGTTTCTTTTCTTTGACACTTTGGGAGTCTGACTTGGTAGTTGGGGAGCTTTTAAGTCATTGATGTATCTCCTTCAGCGGTAGAAAGCATCAAAGTCTTCTTGTTCAAAAAGGCAGAAACAATAGAGTTTTCCCTTTGTTTAAAGTGACTAAGTCTGGCTCCTCCAAAGAGAAGTGCTCTCTACCCACAGGCTTGACATTGTTCAAAGACTGGTTTTGTCATTCATAGATTTTTGATCAACGATCTACAAACAGCAGGAAACAAAGAATTATGCATTGAACTAGTAGTTTCATGGGAGGCAGCTTCTTTGGAATTGGTGTGTTAAATAAATGGAGTGATTTAAACATCCTGTGTTTTACATTTGGTTTTGAATTATCTGTTCTTTGAACTCTGTGTGAAATCTAGTAGCATTTCAACAGATAATTTTCAACTTCTGTTGTCAAAAATATGTTCAGATAAACATTTTGCTGTTGTATGTACAGTGATTTATATGTGAAGCTTAGTTTGTGGGATAAATTTGATCAAGAAGTGGCCTTGTTTTCTACCAGAAAGGGAGAGAAGATTTGAGAATTCAATTACTTAAGTTCTTCTTCAGGAAAACATTCCTTCCTGGGGGATCAGATTTTCATAAATTCTGGCTAAAAAAATATCGAAATATTTTGTAAAAATACAAAAATATATTTAAAATACATGAAATATTTGGGAGTCATCCTACCACAGCACATCCAATAACTGTATATTCATTACAAAATGTTCCTAGAAGTAACAAATGGTTACTTCTTATATGGTATTAAGTTCTTACCTATATTCAGTGCTTATTGCTGTGCTGTGCTGAGTAATAATAATAATATAGCCAATTCATTTACAAACTTAGCTATGCCAGTCAAACTTACCAAAGGGGTACTTAGTGGAATTAGATAAAATAGTAACAAAATTCATTTGGAGAAACAAAAGATCTAGAATATCAAGAGAAATAATGAAGAAGAGCAAAAATGAGGAGAGAATATCACTTCTAGACCTCTAAACCTCAAACTCAGTCATCAATTCTATTTGGTAATGGTTAAAAAATAAAAATGTAAATCACTGGAGCAGGATAGACAAAAAATAACTAGAAATAATTTAGCTCAATAACGTAGGGTTCAAAAAAACATATAAATTACTTAGAATAGAACTCCTTATTTGATAAGATCTACCGGGAAAACTGGAAACCAATTTGGCAAAAATTAGCTTTAAACCAAAATGTTATACCATATTCCACAATAAATTCAAAATGAATACATGATCTAAATTTTAAAGATTAAATCGTAAAAAAATTAAAAGAAAAGTAGATTGTTATGTACCTTTTGATTATTTCCTATTTATCCTATGCATAGCTTGTTTGTACTTACTGGTTTTCATGTTTTCTCTCCCAACAGATTGTGAGCTCCTCAAGAGCAGAGATTGTCTTTTGCCTGTCTTTGTACCTCTAGTGTTTAGCATAGTGCCTGGCACGTAGTAGGCAGTTAATAAATGCTTGACTGATTGACAGAGGATGGATTCTTAACTAAATGAGAAATGTAGGCCATTATGAAAAATGAAACATATTTTTGATTATATAAAATTGGAAAGGTTTTGCACAAACACAAAGTACTTAGGATAAGAAGGGAAGTAATTGACTGTGACAGACATCTTTTGTGTCAAATATGTCTGATAAGAATTTTATATCTAAAATAATAGAAATAGCTAACAGAAATGAAACCTAAATGATTCAAAGTCCACCTTTATAATCTGAATTAAGTTCACTAAATTTTACTTCTGAACATTTCTGGAAAACTTTGACATAAGACTTCTTTTTGTTGGTTTGTTTGTTTTTTGGTTGTTTGTTTTTGTTTTGGTGAGGGCAATTGGGGTTAAGTAACTTGCCCAGAATCACACAGCTAGTGAGTATTATGTGTCTGAGGCCGGATTTGAACTCAGGTCCTCCTGACTCTAGGGCCAGTGCTCTATCCACTGTGCCACCTAGCTGCCCTGACACAAGACTTTTTTTTTTTTGGCTAGGCAATGGGGTTAAGTGACTTGCCCAGGGTCACACAGCTAGTAAGTGTTTCATGTCTGAGGCCAGATTTGAACTCAGGTCCTCCTGAATCCGAGGCCAGTGCTCTATCCTCTGTGCCACCTAGCTGCCCCAGACACAAGACTTCTAAAGAAGCACAGTGAAATTTTGAAATCCCAGTAACTTTGTATTAGATCAGTTTTCATACTGAATAAATAATCACTTGAAAAATTACAATTCTGTATTTTATTAAATCTCATACTTATCCATGCTAAATGTTTCCTTTTATTTAAAATGAAAGCTCATTTAAACAGCAAGCACACTGTGTTGTGTAATATTTTTCGAGTAGAAATTGCATAAAGGGAAATCATTACAAATCTTGGGACTTTTATAATATCATATTTCTAGATAAAAGTTCTACTTCAATGCCTCATTATGGCAAAGAAGTGATCCTGGGTTCTTGAAGGCTGTACCCACAGAGCACAAGCCCTAACTGGCTCTACCATGTTGGCTGGAGAATCTTTGAGTCTGATCCAGGTCACGGACTCTATCTTCTTTCCAAGGACCAGAATAAGTAGGTATAGAGAAGCTTTTAACCATAGGCTGGCCACTAGGTGATGAGTTCTTCAGCCATATCAAACCATGGAATAAGAGAGAGAGAGAAAAGAGAGAGAGAGAGAGAGAGAGAGAGAGAGAGAGAGAGAGAGAGAGAGAGAGAGAGAGAATATTTATTAACATTTTCTATGTTTGGAAGCAACAGGATAAATTGGATGAGGAAGGTTTGGTTTTTCCATGTTCTATCACAACAATAATAACTTTAAAGACTTGAGTCTCAGGTTTCATTGGAATGTACAAGTATAATTCCATATGATCATTTGTGTTCCTTAGGATATAATGTCATATATTTCATAGAGAAGTGTCTTTTTTTAAGAGTCTCTATGGGTTTTGTCATCAATGTTATACTCCATGGGCTTCATCATCGACATTAAGCAATTAAAAAATATATATGTTAAGGTTAAAGGCCAAAGCTGAAGTAATTCATGAATACATACATTATTTTTATTTCATGCCTGCTCTTCAAAAAATAATTATTTAACTTTCTATCTTGGTTTCAGTTCTTAATAAATTAATATGGTGAGTGAGCCCAGCTTCCTGATGTTAATTGAAAAACCTGTGAAATTCAAAGACAGTTGAGAAAATGCAAAATACATTTTTATTTGCTAGTTGGCTAAAATCAAGGTAAAAGATTTTTCTTAATTACTCGAAGGAAGAGAAGTCTTAATTATAATGAATGAATTTGTTCATTTTTCTTCTCTGTTCCTCATATTAGGATTTTAACCACCATACATGACTTTCCTATGAAAGAAAAGTAAAGTATAAATATTTTTATGTAGGTGAAAACATTTAAAAGGTCAGTTCTATTTAATTTGGTTAATTATTACTTTCAGGCTTTATGTATAAAAGGATAAGTCCTCTTACTAAAAAATAAGCTTTATTTGCTTAGCAGTTTTATAACACCTCTTAAATTTATGATTAAAAAAATGACTTCATGGATAACATTCTAAAGGAGATTTTTACTTAGAAAACTAAATATGTAGTTATAAGAGAGGTCTTCTTATTTCCTTTTTATGAAGTACAAAAAGAGAAAACTCTTTTAACTTTTCGATTGAAGCTCAAGATTATGGTTAGGCTAAGTGTTTTGAATCTAAAAAGTACAGTAAACAGCAGCATCTTTAAGTAATTTATGGGAAAGTGGAAGTACTGGATCCAATTACTGAAGTCCCACAACTAAAGCTACTTTGACATGAAAAAGACAGCTCGTTTCAGACAACATGGAAAGCTTACAGAGTAAGCTATTTTCTTTGCCTCGTTTTCTTGTCCTAACCCTGTTTCTCTATCTATAGTAACATCAGCTTTTCTGCTTACAATTACTTATACTTTGATTATTTTTTAATTCAGAGTTTGTGCCTATCACTTAAAGATAGGTCATAAACATGTTGCAGGTGAGATCTAGGTACACTTAAAATTTCCATCTGTGGTTTTATTACTCTTAATTATTATTTTCTTTGGAAGCTTTTCAAGTCTTTATTTTCCTTCAAGGTGTCTAGGATTAAATGCTTATCTTGGGTCTCTCCCTTTAGGGTTCTCAGTAGCAGGGTTTTTTGTTTTGTTTT